TTGTCGATATGTTGACGACACCTTTATCATTTGTAACAATAATTTGGATAGACAACACCTGCTCCAAGTCTTCAATAAGGTACACCCAGCTATTAAATTCACTTGTGAAGAGGAACTCCAAGGTAGTATTCCATTTCTGGACGTTCTTCTCACAAAAAGATCAGACGGTACCTTAAGAAGAAACATCTATAGGAAAGCGACGTGGAACGGACAATACACCCACTTCCATAGCTTCATACCTATACAATATAAGCGCAACCTAATTCGCTGTCTTAGTCATAGAATTAGACGCATATGTACCGAGGATTGTATTGAAGATGAAATAAAAAATCTTACAAACGCCTTGCTACAAAATGACTACCCTACCAACTTTGTAAAGAAGTATATCTACGAAACTACACATAAAACCAAGCGAGACACAGTAAGTAAGAAAAAGCTTTACTTAAATGTACAATTCAAAGGCGATATATCCAGCGATATATTAAACCGTAGATTAACAAGATCAATTGAAAGAACTTTTAATGCCGCAAAACTGTATGTCAGTTTCTCAACCAAACCGATATTGACACCGTGCATTAAAGATAGATTGCCCAAAATGGCGACATCAATGTGTGTGTATAAATTGAACTGCTCCTGTGGAGCTAGTTATATAGGTCGTACCCAGAGGAATTTATCTCTACGCACTCGTGAACATATTCCTGTTTGGCTTGGGAAAAGAACAACCAAATCATTAAATAGTGCAATTCTGTCTCATCTAGTGGATAGCGAACACAGCATCAAAGTAGATGAGTCATTTACAGTTGTGTATCGAGTACCGAACAGTCTCCCCAAAGGCACACGATTACGCCTCCTAGCCATAGCTGAGGCTTTAGAGATTAATAGAGAGAGACCAGACCTATGTGTACAGAAAAAACTTATTCACTCTCTTTGTCTACCCTGGCCCACTATAAGGTCACCAGGATCATAATTTTTCGTACTATTATTATCATATTATTATTTTGTGATATCATGTCTTTATTATCCATTTCTCCACCCAGTTTATTTCACCTCATTGTTACCCTTACTTTTTGTCAACCTTTATGATTTTATACTAAGCCTACCAATTCTGTAGCATTTTATTACAATTTACAATTTAGCCTCTTTATTTTATCATTAGACATTATCGGTCAGCCCTCACATCCAGTGCCTCCTTTGTTAACGTGTCTTTGCATGTATTTTGTGGTTATCGCATTTTTCTCACCCCAAGGACACTTGTATTCTGTTAACTATAAGACAACACTATATCACCCAATTGTTCATTCACACTTCATCACATTTTCCTCTGACTAAACACCCTATACACATTTAATTGACTATGCTAACTAATGGACTATCATCATCTCAACTTACACATGCACCCCAATACAGTTTCTGATATTATTTTCATTTGCCTTTATTAGCTATCTATATGTACTCTATTATTCATGGATTTATAACTGTAGAGCCTGAAGAAGAAGTTATCGAAACCATCATTGTTCGCTCAAACTATTGTTTTGATTTCGGTATATGGAAAGCTGAATTCAGCGGGTGAGTATACCCCATTTTCAGGTTCGAACCTTCTAAGTACAAACGCAATCTGATAAGGGGCTTTGTTCACAGAGAAACAGGAATTAGCTCGAATATAAGTGCGTCCTGATGAGAGAATGCTTACGATCTACAACTACTGATTCTCAGTGATTCTATTTGACTGGTTAAAGTATTTCACCATCAGCTGATGGCGGTTCCAGAGAACCAATAGGAAACTAGTTGGGAGTACTGGACTGTCAGCTTTTTAGTCAGCCTAAACTGGGGCTTCTTCAGAAGCAAGCATCTACCGCCAGGGTGTTTGGAACCAGCACCTTTTGTTAACCATCCGAGCTAGCTCGTAGACCACTAGGCCATTGGGACCCAATCCAATAGCCAGTGCGTGAATTCCAACTTCTTCCAATTCACGACATAGCGCGACGGCTAGCGAATGCTTTCAAACCCAACCTGCTATATCTCACGATCTAGTCTGTAGGTGCACATAATAATACTAATCTCTGAATTTACAAGTTGTAAGCGCAATATCGCTTGAAATTAAGTCACGCGTAGATAAAGGCTATCCCGGTCCAGAACAAACAAGAAGCCGGTCACTGTTTCTACGGTACTATTAATAAACAAATCAATAATTATATATACAACAAACCTTAACGGTTTCAAGAGTACAAAGCACAACGCTTAACAGAAAGCAAGGTACCGCTATCAGAGCGGAATAACGTTAAAGCCAAAATTGCGAACTAGCCGGAACCAGACACGACCGTTCAGGTAAGCAGTCAGTAGAAGAATGAACCCAAGTAAGGCATGGCATAAAACAGAGAGCGTTTAAGAGAGATAGACCGAGCATAGGCACAAAGATAGAATTTAATTGGCTACTTAACCAGGTAGGAAAATACAGATGAAAATCAATAAATAAGATAAACTCGACAGAATAGTACAAAGTTAGACATGGGTCAGCAAAAATAACAGTTCACAAAATACTCTGATTGGGCCATGAGTTCAACTGTCTGACTAAACGGATCGAGGTAAAAACACATACACACAGTTCATTAAACAAGCAGGGATAGACACGTTAGGCATGGATAATTGGGTTGCAACAACGCTAGGCTGATCCGGGACAGGTTGACTTGATTCAAGGATGGGAATAGAATTGATCTTACACCGGCCCCCAAAATCCGACTAGGATTTTATGAATCATGTTATACAGAATAACCCTCGTGCCCGGCTCTCTTACAAATGACTTCCCTCTAGTAGGCATATCTTACGTATATCGCGCTTCACCTCGCCGTTTCTCGTTCTTATTGTAACCGTTCTGACAAGTTCGTCCGCGGATTGCTCGCATTCCGCAATAACTCCTCGCGGCCAACGCCTAGCCAACCATCTTGCCACCACAGAAATCGTAATGCTCCTCGATCGTCTACTGGCACCTTCACTTGCATAAACATATCAGCTATGTCCGCGACTACACCAATAGGCTTTTCTCGAAAGCGCAACAGAGCACCAACAAGCTCGGCAATCGTATCAGGTTCTTGATATAGCTTATCGTTCAAAGAATAACCTCTAAAGGTTGCAGCACAATCTATAAATCTTCTCAGTTTATCTGGCTTTTTCGTTTTCATAACGGGATGATGTGGAAGATACCACCTCGAACGATAGTTCGCTGCTAGCTGCTTTGGGGGTACCGGAAGGGCATAACCATTTTTTAACATCGTATTTATCCCCTCCACATATCGTGCTAAAAGGTTCTTGTCACACGATAACCTCTGTTTCAGATTGAGTAACGGCTTTATGGCGACTACATAATTATTGTCCGTTACCTTTGTCGGATCTTCCCATGGCAAGGGAATGATGTAATGCGCCTTTTCTACTACGGTGCTTTGAGTAACAAACTCGATTGCCTTACGATCTTCAATAGAAAATGAGTTTTTGTTTTCTTCAGTATCCTTAAGCTCAGCTTGATGTAGACTTCTGATGTCGTCTTTGATACTGTCTTTGCTGATTCGAGCGTAATTGACAGTGCCTCTTTTCGTATTTCCATGAGTTTTCCGTTCGTCGTCCTCGGCTAACTTCACATGCAGCTCGGCCATTTCGACATCATGTCTAGCCTTTAGCAACTTTTTCTCTAACTCTAACTCCTCTCGAAGCTGTTTCTCTTTTAGCTGCGCCCTTAGTAGCAACGACTTAGCACTAGTTACTCGCGGTAATGATAATTTCGAACTACTGACATGAGAGCCGGGGCACGAAAGATTATCAACATGATCATTTATACGAACGGGGACTTGCCGACTCTCCGACTGCTGCTCCGAAATTTGATTCCCTGATCTGGTTTGCATTGTTCCAAAGACAATGTATTGTCAATAACGTTGCGTGCTGCCAATTCACCACAGTTTCTTCTCGATGAACGCTCAGTACTGACCAGTTCAGTACGGGATTTTCCTATTAGACGTTGAGTACTGACCAATTCAGTACGGTCTCGATCCGTTTAGCGTTAAGTACTGACCAGTTCAGTACGGGATTTTCTTCAATGACAATTCCTCTTTCGTTAAGTACTGACCAGTTCAGTAAAGTCTCGATCCGTTTAGCGTTAAGTACTAACCAGTTCAGTACGGTCTCGATCCTTTAGCGTTATGTACTACGTTAAGTACTGACCAGTTCAGTACGGGATTTTCTTCAATGACAATTCCTCTTTCGTTAAGTACTGACCAGTTCAGTACGATCTCCTCTGTAGCGTTAAGTACTGTAAGCGCAATATCGCTTGAAATTAAGTCACGCGTAGATAAAGGCTATCCCGGTCCAGAACAAACAAGAAGCCGGTCACTGTTTCTACGGTACTATTAATAAACAAATCAATAATTATATATACAACAAACCTTAACGGTTTCAAGAGTACAAAGCACAACGCTTAACAGAAAGCAAGGTACCGCTATCAGAGCGGAATAACGTTAAAGTCAAAATTGCGAACTAGCCGGAACCAGACACGACCGTTCAGGTAAGCAGTCAGTAGAAGAATGAACCCAAGTAAGGCATAGCATAAAACAGAGAGCGTTTAAGAGAGATAGACCGAGCATAAGCACAAAGATAGAATTTAATTGGCTACTTAACCAGGTAGGAAAATACAGATGAAAATCAATAAATAAGATAAACTCGACAGAATAGTACAAAGTTAGACATGGGTCAGCAAAAATAACAGTTCACAAAATACTCTGATTGGGCCATGAGTTCAACCGTCTGACTAAACAGATCGAGGTAAAAACACATACACACAGTTCATTAAACAAGCAGGGATAGACACGTTAGGCATGGATAATTGGGTTGCAACAACGCTAGGCTGATCTGGGACAGGTTGACTTGATTCAAGGATGGGAATAGAATTGATCTTACACAAGTAGTTAAACTTTTACAATATGAAAATGATGATATTTCATAGGAATATTTCAACTCACCTCTGCAGCTAATTCATAATCTAGAAAACACTTCAACTGTAATCCATTTGATGATTCTTGTCCAATAACTGGAGGAAGAAATGTTTCAAACATACGCATTCTTGCTTCTTTATTTGGTAAATCGACTAGAATTCTTTTCTCTAATCTACGCAGCATTGCATGATCTAATTCCCTGACGGTTGGGTGAAAACAAAAATTAAAAGAAAGGCGGTAAAAAGTATAAAAAGTGTATTCACCCGTAAGTGTTTTCAAAGTTGTAGACATTTAATCCATATACACATGAATGAATAAATTATACCTGTTTGTCTTAGTGACTGCCTTCATATCAAGTGTACAGCGAGAAGACAGAGGTGACAGCCGACAACAACAACAACAACAGCAAGCATCAATTACCAACAAGGGGAGATATCTAAGAGAAATTATCTCTTCCGCTTATCTGACCCTAGGCAGCAGCATCGTTTCAACTACAAGCGGCATGGGTGTGTATAGAAAAGACTAGCCAGGATCGGGAAATCGGTCTGGAGATATACGTCTTATAGCTACTATATATTTTCATCAGTACCTGCCCTTTTTGCTTGATGCTAAAGACCAGATAATTGGCTAGAGGGGATGAGAACTAATGAACTTTGGCAGACAGAGAGCGAGCCAAAGATCCATTACCCGTGAGGTATGGAAAAATAAAATGGAGATGGAATAAGCATATGCCAAAGAGACTATCGAAGGTTATCACATGTCAGTTCGTAGTGTGGACACCTGATGGGAAGCAGCGGCTAGCGCGTGTTTCTATAAGTGACACTGAGGTTATGTGAACAGGGGTGAACAGAAGTTAGTGGACAGTCTTTGGGTCTGCTGTGGTGAGATCTGTCTGCTAGCCGAAATTGGTGGACAGCAATTTACGTCAATATTTACGTCCTAAATATTAGAAAAAAAACAAGAACAAAGACTAACTCAACAACCAATCACAGCAAACTTTGCGTGGGCGGATACGATTCGCAGAGATTCGGTCTGACCTTCAAAGAAATAGCCACAAGTAGTACAGAATAACCTTTAACAAGAAAACAACCAATCAGAAGAAGTTGCTTCTCTGCTAACAATAACGCTAATAATAATGTACATAAAAATCTATAAATATCTGTTGATTTTCTCAATAAACGATTTGTTGCCTGGCCCTTATCTTCTGTCGTTAAACAACTACTCATATCATCCAACCAGTAGTATGTATATATCATAATGCAATTAGCAGACTTTCTAAATATCTCACAGGTGAAAAGCCTGAAAAATGAAGATAGTCAGAATAAAGACCAAAAAAAAATACCAGTTCCAATTCTTACTTACCATGGCAGATTAGAAGCTGCTAACAAGAAGACCAAATCATCAGATTTAGCTAACCCGTCCATTTGCATTAATAATTCTGTTTTCATTCTACGTGAACCTTCATGTTCACTACCCATAGATATGCCTTGACCTCCACCGCCCCCGGATGTACTACATCCAGATATTGAACCTCTTTGTGACATTAAAGAGTCTAATTCATCCAGGAATATAGTTGAAGGCGCATGAAATCTAGCCAACTCGAATAGAACCTGTGAGAAAGGTATAATGCAGTACAAAAACACTCGATTTTAGTTATTAGTGGTAAATCTCAATAAAAGAAAGGGGTTTCCAGAGGGGATAAACTGAGCATTAATATTACAATGGCTGATCATATTTTACACAAAGCCTGACCGATTATTGCTATTTTTGACGTGGTGGTTGTGAGACTGTTTATTATTATTGCTATTATTATCATTATTCTCTTGCTTTCCGAATGGAACACAGTCGGGCTTCAACAACACACCTCCACCTTCTTCTGTTTTCTACCATCCTCTTCAGCTGGGCCCACGATTGCCCATTATCTGTCATCTCCTCCTACCCCACCCCAACAAACGGTCTCATCCATGTCACCCCCACACAGACGAGCCATTCGTCGCTTCCCATTGGGATTCCACTGGTCTGATAGCCTGCATTGCGCACGATGTCATTCAACGGTCTCCTCAATGTATACCCGATGACCTCCATATCGCAATGACTAAATGAGCTATACAAGCTGAAACAAATATTCTTGCAGGTAATAGCAGGCTAAACGGATGACTTAGGATAGTGGTCAGATAGGAAACAATAACAATCTTACCGCAAATAGTTGTTGTGAGTCTGAAGACGAAAACATACTGCTCTCTCTCTCTCTCTGATAGGCGTGTAGTGTCGACAAGGTGTCTGCAGAGGTGCATGTCCGGGGTCTATGGAAAACTGTACATCCTAACATATCCTATAGAGTTGTCCGTAGCGTTAAAGTTTAACTATCCAAGAGTGCGAATCTACCAGTGACTTTCAAACGATCAAACAACTTGAAAAGACTATTTCGGGTCACCTGATCTCTACCCTAACCTTAATTTTCCCCAAAGAACCACCATAATCTAACCCTAAACACAGATTTTCTAAACACCTGTCCGAAAATTCTATGTCTCAAAAGAAATAAATGCCTTCAGTAGTGACGTTGACCCGGCATCTCTTTGAAAATTATCAGTAAAGAAGAGATTTCAGTTTATCTTAATTCCGTAGAAGTAATCTCCATCAAACGCCTGAAAACGCGACTTTTGTATTCAGAAAGAGAAGTAGTTATCAGTCGTTGCTTGCCCATTGTGGTAAGTGGATGCCTTTATTCTCTCTTTTATTTGATTACATAATACTTAAAATTCCATTCTGTATGATTATTATTGTTTAAAATAAAGTGATTATTCAAAGGGTTGGTTTGTAGGGATTTGATTGATTGGTTTCAGGATTTCATCATGAGCTGACACATTAGTTAGAGAACCATTGGAAAACCAGCTGGGAGTGTAGCAGCTGATTATTATTGGCATTGAAACTTGAACTGACAATACTCTTTTCAATGACTTCATCATCAGGTTCTACAGTTATATATCCATACATAATGGTGAATGAATTAGTGTGGAATCCCAATGGGAAGCGACGAGTGGATCGTCAGAGTGTGAGGGTGACACAAAGGAGACTCTATGAGGAGGAGATAAGATATTATAGGCAATTGTGGACTCAACTGAAGAGGATGACAGAGAAAAGAAGAAAGTGAAGATGTGTTATTGAAGCCCGACTGTGTTCCACTCGGAACCCAAGGGAATAATAATAATAATAATAATAATACAATAAATAACATCGACTCAATAATAATATCAATGGATTACAGTTCAATAGGATCAACATAAAAATAAACTAAATGTCAGAAAAATTAGAAAAGATAATAATACAAATTCATGAATGTATATTCTCTACTGAAGGACGGCCAGAGCATTAGTAGTACCTGTGTGGTGAGAGCAGGCCGTGAGAAAATATGAGCAAGGCTGATTCAACAACCAATCACAGCAGACTTAACGTGGCAAAATATGGTTCGCAGATAGAGAACTCTATTTGTCGAGGAATCCCGAAACAACCAATCAGAAGCCTGCGTTTGTCTGCCTAACTTCTGATAAACAACCAACCAGATGACTGCGCCTGTCTACTTGCATAAGCTATAATAATGTATGTGAAATATGTATAAATACGTGTTGATTTTCATAATAAAACGATCTGTTGCCTGGCCCTTGTCTTCTGTTGTTACATTTGGTGTCGCTGCCTACCGACAAATGGAAAGCCTATGCCCTGCTGTTTTTGATGGAGACATATGGATCTTCGGGCAGGACTTCAAGGCTTCTGCGCAGTTGAGTGGCGTTCAAGATCTGTCAGCGATGGAGCTGCTACTTGGGACGCTGCTGGGAGGTCGGGTGAAAGCAGCATATGAAAGTGTGAGACGAAATACTGACGAATGTTCGACAGGGTCAGGCAAACAGTTTCCAAAGTGGGAAGGACCACATATGGTCACTTCGAGATGGGATTACGCGGACACAATCGCAATGACGAACAATGAGAGGCGCGTGAACGTCAGCGAGCTCCAGAAATGGATACAGCGAGACAAACCAACGATGACACCTGCACCAAGTAGATCAAGCCGACTTCAGTCGCACGTATTTGCCGGGGGGACGAGTGTGGTGAGAGCAGGCCGTGAGAAAATATGAGCAGGGCTGATTCAACAACCAATCACAGCAGAGTTAACGTGGCAAAATATGATTCGCAGATAGAGAACTCTATTTGTCGAGGAATCCCGAAACAACCAATCAGAAGCCTGCGTTTGTCTGCCTAACTTCTGATAAACAACCAACCAGATGACTGCGCTTGTCTACTTGCATAAGCTATAATAATGTATGTGAAATATGTATAAATACGTGTTGATTTTCATAATAAAACGATCTGTTGCCTGGCCCTTGTCTTCTGTTGTTACACCTGGACTTGGTTCTATTGCACACAAAGTACTGGTTGTTTCACGCGGATAGCGATAGCTTCATCTGTTTGGAGCATGTGGTACCTCATGCAATTTTGTCAATTTATTTAGTATTCGGTGGATGATGGAGTGGGATTCTTCAATGCTGGCTGGCCTTGCGGCCAGTTTGGACCAGGTAGTCTGATATCGAGCTGTTTGTTGATGGTTTTCACTACTTGTTCACTTGACCATACTGGTAGATGTTCTCGAGAGAACATGAAAAATCAAGCTCCTGAAGCAACGGTCAATATAACTCTCTCCACCAAAAGCGCAGTTGAACTGGTAGATACAATTGGAAGTGACTAGTCTAGATACTTCATCTTTCATTTCAGGAATCACAACCGGTAGGTAGCACCGGTAACATACAAAGTAGTGATTAGACCTATTATGACCAAGATGTTCCCTTATATAATATCAGTTTTAGCTGAACAAAAATAACTTCCCTTATATAAAGTGACGGGTTACTCTCTTGACAAGATATAATATCCCAATAGACTGGAACAATAAATATTTAATTAAGAATAATGCAGATTACGGTTATTTGTAAGACATTTGATAGTAAAAACGATGTAACGGAAAGATTCTTTGGAAAATCCCTCTTGAACGATCTAATCATAATATTTACACCTACCTGGATGTTTCAACTAACTATGTAATTAATATCCGTTACTCTCCTAGACTGTATGTCACTGTTCGGATATTTGCATATCACATGTTGGTTTGACCCTTAATTATTTGCCATTGTTTATATTTAACCTCTGATTTTAATGCTCCTCTTTGTGGCTGTGTGTAAATTGATGTTCTCTTGTACATTGTGACTCTTTTTTAGTAATACAAGGTTATTCTGAACTTTGGACTGTCTGCGGGAGGCACTCGTGTGTGTGATTTTTGTGGGCAGAGTTTTGATCCTACCTTCCATGGAATATTCCTCCTTGATTCTTAGGTAATTGTAACAGCGCTGAATTTTGGTTAGCTGATTTCGTTCAACAGTGTACTTGTTTTATACGGGAAAACTATCTAACCTGTATACCTAACCAACGGCACCATTGAAGTAATTCTGAGTCTTTTATATTATTGTTACTATTATTGATAATCACACTCACACCGAGGGCGTGGCTATCATGATCTCACAAACGGCAACAAAGGCCCTGATGCAATGGGAGGCGATCTCGTCCAGGATAATGACCGCCAGATTCAACTCCAATGGAAGGAAACTGTCAATTATACAATGTTATGCACCCACAAACAACGCAGACCTCGAAAAGAAAGAAGAATTCTACAGACAACTACAGGCAGCAATGGACAATACTCCAGCTGGCGACATTAAAATACTAATGGGAGACATGAACGCCAAACTGGGACCAGACAACACAGGAAGGGGACTCATCAGTGGTAGAGAAGCTCTCGGAAAATGAATGAAAATGGAGAACTCTCCACCGACTTCTGCGCCTTCAATGAACTAGTGATTGGTGGCAGCGTATACAAACACAAAGATATCCACAGGGCTACATGGGTGTCACGAGATAGGTGTTATGTACTCGTCGCTAAATTATTGTTATGGACTGGTCGAGAAACTAATAGTCCTGACGCGAGAAGGCGGAAATCAGAAGACCACTAGGTTTGCGATGATACTTCTATTCCAAACACAAGGAGACGAAAATAAATGGTCTCACACCAAAGTGGTAAGTAAGTAAAGCAGTTGTAAAGTAAAGTAGTTCACACAAATGTAAATGCGAAATATATATGAATAATTCAGACAAGCGTGGGAAGAATCATTAGACAGTCTTAACATGAATGGCTAATTATAATGGAGTGTCGATCCAATTATACATAGCGAATATAGCAGACATGCCAACAAACATATATGGATATATGTCACCAAGCAACGGACTGTCAACGAACACTCATATTATATATAATATAATATAAGGAGAATACACATTATTAAAGGAGACAAGTCCATACAAGTGAAGTGGTCACAGACTAACCGAGCAAACAGAAAGAGAGACCAACATGCACACACACACATAAATATATATATGTGGATACATATCAATAGGCAAACCGAAAACCAATTTGACTTTATCTCAATGCTGCTCAAGGAAGTGGAGGCGCAGCCTACTGGACACAAAAGTAAGAAGAGGAGAAGACGTTGGCTCAGACCACTATATCTTACAAGGGACAATCCAAATCGAATTAAAAGCTTTCAGAAAGACAGGAGCTGCAGATAGACCACAAGCCAATTTCAACACTCAAAAACTGAAGGACCAAGATACAAAGGACATCTTCATTGAAAACATAAGGGAAAAAGCCGAGACACATTAACACTAGCGAAGAGGTCGGCGTCGAAAAGCACTGGAACAATTTGAAAACGGTGTGCAGTCAAACCTGCATGGAAGTTCCAAGGCAGAAAGAAGAGACAGAACAAACACTAGCTCACTACGGACACTTGGAAACTAATAGAAGAGAGAAGGACAGTGAAACAAAAGATTATCCAGTGCTTCATGCATTTATTCCCCTTGATAAATTTGAATAAAGCGAGAACAACATTGATTTGTGCAGAATAACATGGTACCATCATTTATTTCGTTGGCTTCTCGTCAAATTTACGTGTATCTGCGGGAGCAGTTACATTGGGAGAACAGAAAGAAGGGCACACCTCCGATTTTCTGAACATGTGCCGAAAAGCCTACGTCTCAAGGGAACAAATTCTTATAGCAGCGCTATTACCAGACATCTCCTCGACACGGGTCATGAGGTGGAAATCGAGAAATCCTTCAAAATTATTAATAGACAAAGGAGCTCCACTCTCCTCAAGTTTGCCGAAGCAATTTCTATCAAACGCTTGAAACCAGATCTATGTGTTCAGAAAGAATCAGTTATTAGTCTTTCCTTGCCTTGGTAACTGGATGTCTTTTTTCTCCCATCTGATTGCGTAATCTTTGTCTTTATTTAACCTCACCCTCTTTTATAATTGTGCTTGTCTCTTGTTTCTATGATTTGAGTTCAACTCAGTACATTGTTACCTAACTTATTAGTCACTTTGCATCTCTCATCTGATTGTGTAATTTCGTCTTTAACCTCACCCTCCTTTTATAATCTGTAATTTTGTTTGTCTCTTGTTTCTATGATTTGAGTTCAACTCAGTACATAGTTACCTAACTTATTAGTCACTATGCATCCAACGCACATCCCTTACCATTATATACATACATTTATTTATTATTTTTTAACTTGAACTGCCTGTGTAAAAACTATATAAGCGCAATTTTCTGAGCACTGTTTACTAGTTGTGAAACTTTCTGTCAACATGTAAAATTTGCAAGTACGTTAAAACGTTTCTGTACTTAAACCTGAAAATTTATTTACGCTGTAAGCAGCTGACGAGAAGCCAACGAAATAAATGATGGTACCATGTTATTCTGCACAAATCAATGTTGTTCTCGCTTTATTCAAAATTATCCAGTGCACTGACGAGCAACAAAAACAGGAGCTGAATGCAAGCTACAATACGCTAAACAAAAGAGTGAAGAAGAGTGCCAGGGAAGACAAAAGAAAATATTATGAAACCATGGCAAACGAAGCAGAACAAGCTGCAGGCAAAGGAGACCTCGCCACACTCTACCAAACAACTAGGCACCTATCGGGCAAAAGTTCGACACAGATTAAGCCAGTAAAGGATGACAATGGAAAGTCAATCACCAAAGAGGTGGAACAGAGAAAACACTGGGCTGAACACTTCAAAAGACTTCTAAATCGTCCGCCACCTACAACACGCCCAACAATACCAACAACAGAAGCAGAACTACCAGTGAACATTGACCCCCCGACGAAATCAGAAGTCCTGAATGCAATCAAGATGCTAAAAGCTGGGAAAGCAGCAGGATCAGATGGAATCCCAGCAGAAGCTTTGAAAATAGACCCAGAGACAACAGCGGGCTTGATGACGCCACTGCTGGAGAAGGTGTGGAAAGAAGGCAAAGTACCCGAGGATTGGAAGAACGGATACTTATTCAAACTACCAAAGGAAGGAGACTTAAGTCAATGCAAAAACTGGCGTGGAATTATGCTTCTGTCCATTCCAAGCAAAATACTAAGCCGCATCATCCTGGAGAGAATCAAACAAGCCCTAGATGAAAAACTTCGACCGGAACAGGCCGGACTCAGGAGGAACAAATCATGTATTGATCAAATCGCCACTCTACGGATCATCATTGAACAAAGCTTGGAATGGCAGTCACCTCTCTATCTCAACTTCAGCGAATTGGAAAGGCCTTCGACAGCGTCGATCGAGAGGTCATTTGGCAACTACTTCGCTACTACGGGGTGCCATCGACAATTATACATCTCATCCAACAGTTATACGACAATGCTGCATGCCAAGTAATCCACAACGGGAAACTTACGGAAGCCTTCGAAGTGAGGACGGGAGTGAGACAAGGCTGTCTACTATCACCAATGATCTTCCTGATTGCAGTAAATTGAATAATGAGGCAGACAACGGGAAATGAGGAAACAGGCATAAATTGGACTCACACAAAAAACAACTTGGAGGATCTGGACTTCGCCGATGATGTATGTCTGATTTCCCACAAACTGGAAGATATGCAAGTGAAAAGCAACAAGCTGGCAGAAGAAACATCAAAGATAGTTCTTCAGGTGAATATAGATAAAACAGAGGTGATGAAGATTCCTGGACAACAGCAACAACAACAACAACAGCAACAATCAGCCAGCATAAATAGGAGGAACCTGAAAGAAACAACTTCCTTTACCTACCTGGGAAGCATCGTTTCTACTACAGGCTAACGGAACTGAAGAGGATATCAAAGCATGGATAGGGAAAGCAAGACAAGCTCTCATTATTCTCAAGTCTGTGTGGAAGTCAACAGCACTCAGCATCAAAAATAACATCTGGATTTTCAACTCCAATGTGAAGTCACTGCTACTATACGGACCAGAGAATTGGCGCGTCATAAAGAGCATCTCAAACAAACTTCAGACCATCATTAATAGTTGTCTTCGCTCAATACTCATGATCAGATGGCCGGCCAGAAAAGATCAGAAACAGGGATCTCTGTCAATGAACAAACCAACTCAGTAGGAATCTATTGTGAAACAAATAGGCAGGAAGAAATGAAGATGTATTGGCCATACTCTTGGGAAACAAGCCATCAAGTGACATCACTAGACAAGCCATCGCTCGAGTGGAACCCGAAAGGGAAGCGGGCGGCGAGTTGGTCGTCAGTGCAAGGGTGATTCGGAGGAGGTCATGCGAGGAGGAGATGAAAGCATGTGGACAGACCTGGAGGGGGGTGAAAAAGTTGGCAGAAAACAGAAGGCAATGGAGGTGCGCAGCTGAAGCCCTATGTTCCTCTAGGAACTCAAGGATACAATAATAATATAATAATACTATTATTGAACAGAACCACAGATTTATTGAAGAATTATCGTCTTTTTGCCGTCTTTGAAGCATCTCAAGAAAGTTTCGGACAGCCATACAGCAGAACGCAAAGATCCGTTCCCACAGCGAGGCGGTTTTGGTTGCTACAACTGGTAGAAACGCTTTCTCTTCATACGTTTCCCTCTAACAACATTCTGACTGTAGTACTTTTCAGAGTCAACCGCCAAGAAGTCACCATTTGACCTAGGCTTTTTACCAGTCTGCTATCATTAATGAAGAATGTCCTTCTGGAGATTTCCTGCAGTCCTGAATCAAAGAACTTGTGCGTGAGTTATCTAGCCACAAATAATGACTGAATGGGGGCATGAAAGGCGGTCAGTCGATGATAACTAGTCCACTGAATGAGTACTGACTGAAATCTGTAGAATGCGCATAAATTATGATTAAGAAGAGATCATTCAAGACAGGTGTTTTGTTTTTCCTGGTTTGGGATTCCTCATCAGTAGTGTGCACTCATGACTCCGCCAAGGTTAGAATGCAGGACCTTCAAGTTATGGGATCAGCTTATTGACTATTCAACCTGTGAATTCTGGCTTCGGTTCAATGACCACAGCACACACACACATGATTGATTGAATAACTTACACGAACTAATTTCTCTGAATCCCCTCTCCATTTACTGACAATGGTTGATGCAGAAATATTGAAAAATGTTGTTTTACACTCAGTTGCTACAGCTTTGGCTAAAAGAGTTTTTCCTGTACCTAAAACAAACAGCACAAAATAGAAATACTCTCCAATATACTAAATAGAATTTAAGTAGTTAGTAAAAAGTAAGTAGTACAACGCACAGTATGTTAATTTACTTATCAGTTAATTGATTAGGGAACAAAAACAAGTTCTCAAATAAATCTACCAATATGCCCCAGGTATTGAAAGACAAATCTTATTACAGGATTTCATCATGAGCTGCCGCCGGTTAGAGAACCATTGGAACACCAGCTAGGAGTAATGGACAGTTACTCCGTCAGCCTAGTTTGAGACTCTCCAACAGTACGCACCCACCACAGGGGTTCTAAACGAAGACCTTCTGGGATCCAATCCAATGACCAGCCCATGAATTGCGACTTTTGCCAATCCACGACATAGCGCGACAGTTATCCAATATCTTCGGCGAGTATTTATCCACACACCCGATCTGTTCCATCCTACTGGTCACCACTTACCACTAAAACCCCAGGTAACTGCCTACCTGAATAGGTCAAGTCGTTAGTGAGAATCTCATTGATTTTCAGGTATTGCTTTCAATCAAATCCCTACAAACCGCTACTTGAAAAACATTCTGATTAGATGGTTTGAAGAAGTTGGCAGGAGGCCTAGATGCATGACACATGACACTACCTAGTGTCCAATCGAAGATATTCTTAGATATGATAGAGAAGATTTGTAGCTCAGGTGGATGATTTTCATGTGGTTTTGTTCTCTGAGCTGGATAGTTAACTTGCGAAGCTTTCATCGCCATACTAAGCGACATCTTCAGCGAATACTAAAATTCACTGAAGTGAGCTTTGGGATTTCTCCACGAGTTTATTAATCATCTCTCCTGGTGATCTTGGACGTGATTGGTTGTTTTTGTGTGTTTTCACACCTTCTAGGCTACTTAAATTGGAACTGATTGTTTCTTCGACTTGAACTATGACCCTTTGTGTGAGAATTTCCTTCTTTTCAGATGGTAAATTTTGTCTATCTCAATGTGTCTATTGATTGATGATTCACTGGAATACCAGACAGGCTACTAAAAATTCTCTAGAATTCTTGTTGTTTCCTCTGTCTAGTGTTTGAACGTTGGTTGTCCCAGTCGAATTGATGTTCGTGGTTGTCTGTGTGTAGTGAGTGGTATGAGGGAATGGATATCATGTCTTTTGACGGCTAATTTATGTTCGTGGATACGAAGACAAAGGCGACGTCCACTTTGGCCAATGTAGTGTTTTTCGTAGTTGTTACAATTTATTTTGTAGATGATGTTGGTTTTGTCTTCTTTCACTGTTGAGTCTTTTGGTTGACATATAATTGAGTGAAGTGATTTTGTTGGTTTGTGTACGACGTCAATTCCTAAAAGTGTGAAGAGTCTTGTAGTGATTTCTGAGATATCCTTTATATATGGTAAGTCGATTTTCTTTGTGCTTTCCTTGGTGGCTTTTTCTTCGGTAGGTTGGCTTGGCGGTATATGTCTTTTGATGATATTCCGATTTGAGATGTGAACATTGACGTAAACTGCTGTCTACAACTTTTGGCTTGCTGACAGTTCCTAACACACATATTAGTGTCTCGAAAAGCTAATAAATATTACCGAGAATGGCAGTCGGTTACAAACAGGCTGAAATTTCACCCTTCTCTCGCTTTCTGAAAGCAGTGCGAAGTGACGAATCCTCTCTTCGTTGGTAGGCTTGCCTGCTTTTGTGATCCTGTTTCTTTTTCATGTATCTCTTGGCAATAGTGAGGAGATACTCAACAGGCTCAAGTGCATCAATGTGACTCTAGAACGCCCAATGAAAGTAAGGCATTGAAAGCAGATGAATAACACTATTTGTAATCAATAGTGCTTTCTGAGGAGCTGGTCGGTTGGTTGGTTGAGTACCAGGCTTCTAGGAATTCCCTGATTGCAATTTCGGTGTTTCTTCTGTCTGAGATTTCGACATTATCCCAATCATCAAACTGATGTCCATAATTGTCTATATGCATTGATATGAAACAGGAATATATATATCGTGTCTTTTCACGGCTGATTTGTGTTCCTGGATTCTGATTCGAAAAGAAAGGACGCCTACTCTGGCCGATGTAATGCCTGTTACAGTTGACACATGCAATTTATTTTGTAAACGGTATTAATTTTGTCTACTTTTTCTGTTGGATGGGTCTTTTGGTTTGCGTAATATCGAATTAAGCGATTTGACTGACTGTCTGGCTTGTGTGCTATATCTATATGAAACGGTTTCAGTATTCTAGCTGTTATTTCAGAGATATTTTTCATGTATGGTAGGATGAATTTTCTTGTGTTCCTTGATGATGGTCCCTTGTTGGTGTTGTGATTCGGTTTTAAACACTTTTTGATGAAATTTTGTGGATAATCATTCTTTTTGAAGAAGGTTGTTAGTAGGTATTTTCCTTCCATTCTTTTCAACTCTGTAGTGCTACAATGTGTTTAAACTCTCTTTTAAACAATAATGTCTGCACACAGTTTCGTTTGTGAGTGAGTAATTGGATTATTGCTGGTATAGTTGAGTTTAGGCTAAGCAAAGGTTAAGGTAGGGGAGGTATTAGGGTGTGTTAAGAGTAGATTAAGGTTAGGTCAAGCAAAGGTTACAGTTAGGAGGCTAGCTTTGCTTTTCAGCACTGGAGCTCTTTAAAAAAGTCATGAGTGCGTTCCCACCTCTTAGGTGTCTAAATAGTAACTTCGACAGCCGCTTCATAGTACAGTTTATATGCATATATATATGTATATATATACAACAATCACAGCAATGTATTTACCTGGAGGTCCGTACAGTAGTAATCCTTTCCAAGGTGACAGTATTCCAGCAAACAGTTGAGGATACTGTGGAGGAAAAATTCGACACTGTTCAGTAGTATTAGTAATAATAATAGTAATAATTACATTCATAATACATAATTATGAAATCCAGTGACATTAGAGAATGTAGTGAGCCCTTTTTGTAGCCAACTCTTATTGTATCTATTAATTCAAGTCCTCCTTTGGAGCCAATTAACATTATCCGTTGCTCTTGGGATTTTATTTTTCTTAGGTGGAAATACCTCCAAGTGTGGTGAAACAGTGAACTGAACTTTGTATGCGAAGAACTCATAAGACAACGAAACATCTATGTTGGCATTCCTACATCTTTTTTAATAAAGAAGCTTCTCTTGAAGTGCACAATGAATGTTCACTTTCTGTTTAATAGGGAACTATGCAGACAAATCAACGGCATGGCAATGGGGTCATCACTAGGACCCATTTTAACCAGCATTTTTTTCCTTGCGAAACTAAAGAATGGGCCTTTGAAAGATATAATTGATAAACTCTAATTCTATTGTCGGCACATGGATGATACATTTTTGATTATGAAAAATGAGAAGGAAGCAAGGAGCATTCTGGATAAATTTAACCAGGTTCATCCTGCAATGAATTTCACTATTGGGAAAGAAAAAGATTCTAGTATTTCATTTTTAGACGTCCTCATGACCAGAAAAGAGGATGACACAATAAGAAGAAGTGTATATAGAAAACCTACATCCAGCTTTGTGCCCTGGAAAATACAAACACCATCTGATAAAGTGCTTGGCTCACAGAGCATGAACAATCTGCACGGATGAATGGTTTGATGAGAAACTTAATAATATTAAAGGGGTTGCTTAGTGAAAAGATTTACCCAGAAAAGTTTATTGATAAGAATATGAAGCTAAAATCAAAGCAGCCCAAGAAAACAACAGTTCCAAAAAACGAAGGCCTTCGTTAAAAAGGCATTCTCTGCTGCTGAATTACACTGTGTCTTCAAAATCACTTCTCTTTTGCGTTTAGGAGTAAAGGGCAAACAGCCTAATTTCGCCTCTTCCATGTGTATCTACCAATTTAACTGCTCCTGTGTTTCTCGTCGGATTTCCCAAGATCACCCTGCATGGTGGTTAAGCAAAGGACAAACAAAATCTATTCGCAGCGATATTCTGTCTCATCTAGTAGATACAGAAAGCTAGATTGATGTTAACTAGGCTTTCAGGATCGTTTACCGCATACCAACAATCCCAGTTTCGCCTTAAGAGTTCGACTACTAAATATTGCTGAGACTGGCTGTTGCGATCCATACTAAGAAGTCTCATTTGTGGGTCCAAAAGAAGCTAGTTCAGACATTATCCTTCGACGTGACAGCATTATATACCTCCATCGGACAAAAACTAGCGAAAGAAACTATGGAGCAATTACTTAGCAACGACGAACAACTTCCACAACAATCAAAAATGCAACACACAAGCTGGATGGAATGCATAAACCTATGCTTAACAACATACTTCCAATTCAACGGCCAAATATATGAACAAGTCAAATGAACACCCATGGGATCGCCAATATCAGGTTTGATTGCAGAAGCAGTGATGCAAATACTCGAAAACATAATTCTACCAAAGATCAAACCCAAGATTTGGATGTGCTACGTCGACGACACATTTGTAATAATGAAAAGAAACGAGTTAGATAAAAATTACAACTTAAAAAACGTCTTCAACGACATCAAATTCACAAGAGAAGAGGAATCCGAAAACAAAATACCATTTTTGGACGTCTTAGTCAAGCGAACAACCACAGGGGAGTTAGAAACTCAAGTTTATAGGAAATCATCTCACACAGACCAAATCCTGAATTACAACAGCAACAATCCAATAACACACAAAAGGAATTGCATACAAACACTATTCAAGAGAGCAAGGACTCATTGCAGCACTCCCACCTAAAAGAAAATTGAGGAAAAGTATCTCATGGACGTCTTCCAAAAGAATGGATATCCACGGAATTTCATCAAAAGACATATACCGCCAAGCCAACCTATCAAACCAAAAGCCACCAAGGAAAGCACAAAGAAAATCGACTTACCATATATAAAAGATATCTCAGAAATCACTACAAGACTCTTCACAACTTTAGGAATTGACGTCGTACACAAACCAACAAAATCACTTCACTCAATTCTATGTCAACCAAAAGACTCAACAGTGAAAGAAGACAAAACCAACATCATCTACAAAATAAATTGTAACAACTACGAAAAACACTACATTGGCCAAAGTGGACGTCGCCTTTGTCTTCGTATCCACGAACATAAATTAGCCGTCAAAAGACATGATATCCATTCCCTCATACCACTCACTACACACAGACAACCACGAACATCAATTCGACTGGGACAACCAACGTTCAAACACTAGACAGAGGAAACAACAAGAATTCTAGAGAATTTTTAGTAGCCTGTCTGGTATTCCAGTGAATCATCAATCAATAGATACATTGAGATAGACAAAATTTACCATCTGAAAAGAAGGAAACTTCTCACACAAAGGGTCATAGTTCAAGTCGAAGAAACAATCAGTTCCAATTTAAGTAGCCTAGAAGGTGTGAAAACACACAAAAACAACCAATCACGTCCAAGATCACCAGGAGAGATGATTAATAAACTCGTGGAGAAATCCCAAAGCTCACTTCAGTGAATTTAAGTATTCGTTGAAGATGTCGCTTAGTATGGCGATGAAAGCTTCGCAAGTTAACTATCCAGCTCACAGAACACAACCACATGAAAATCATCCACCTGAGCTACAAATCTTTACTATCATATCTAAGGCGTATCTTCAACCCTGAAGGAAATGATTTCCCAACTCCTCCCCGCTCTTACGACTTCAACTCGCAGCATCCGTTTTGATGCAGTCAGAGACGATTCCACCAAGTAATTTTGGCTTACAAATGACCTCCTGTAGGACTGTGGTTAACACACTGACTGGTCACTAGGGAATGGTATCTTATCAAGCTAACATCAGTTTAAAGTGTACCCCGTCCAATGGTGTGTCACCTAGGTTGATGATCGCATATTATACAAATGACTGAGAGAATTCAGTCTGCACCAAAGATAGGACTGGATATGTGATATAAGTTACCTGTTAAAATCCCATAGGAGGCCAGTCAAGAGCCCAGATACCTCAGTGGCAATGTCTCTGATTCCAGTACTGCGGGATCCGAGTCTGAGTCTCACAAGGGTTATGAGTTCATTCAAGGTGTTGCAGATACACGCCTTGCTGACTGATGAGTACCAATGAGCACAAAACTCAGGCAAGGATAGGCTTCCTGCCGATTGCCCCCAACCATCTAACATACCATCCTATGCAAACATCCTGACACGTATATATATCCCACAGAAGTTCAGATTTAATGATGAAATAAAATTTGACCAATGAATACACAATATTCGTCATTATAAAATCGAATTTTGTACTTTCAAATGAATGAAAAAACAAAACGATATTGTTGTCTTTTACTGACATTTTGCTGTTTAGACGCTGCTGCGCATTCCTTTATCAAAGTAACACTAAACCAGAACTTAGAAAATCTCAGCTTATTATGCAGTAACTTAATTCCATAGTTCTTCAGCGTGTCAAGTAGATGAATTTGGAAAAAGATAACGAACCACGTGCATTGGAGTTTGAAACGATGACTATTATGGGAGCAACATCACTCACTCAGGAATGCAGGTACATCTATTGGAAGAGACTCAGTTGGAACGAAATGCCTGTCTCGATTCTATGGCTAGTTGCTTCAACTTAATTCTAGGATATAATCGAAGCATCCGTACTAATGGCCAATAGGCCAACAGACACTGGACATTTCAGTCCTACCAATTAACATGAAAATTCATATTGAATTAAAAGCAAGTAGTAACTGACTCTCATTTCACAAGAGATGGCTGTCGTAGAGCCGGTAGCGCGGCGGATAACTCTTTAGCTTCTGAAATGATGTGTACTGACTTCGAGTCCCTGTGGGAACACCATCACTCACTGGGGAATGTAGATACATACGGCTGATGAGTCCGAGATGGAATGAAATGTTCATTCCACATTTCATTGCTAGTCATTATTCACCAAAAACTGATTCATGTACAGATTACGGGATTTCATCAACAGTACGCAACCCCCATAGAGGTTTGAACCGAGGATCTTCTGGTTACGAGGCGAGCTAGCTCGTAGACCATTAAGGCTCTGAGACCCAATCCAATGGCTAGCTCATGAATTCCGACTTCTGTCAATTCACGACATAGCGCGACAGCTAGGCAATTTCTTCAGCGTGTATTCATCCACACACCCGACCTGTTCCACCCTACTATTCACGACTTCCCACTAGAACCCCAGGTAACCACCTGCAGCTAGGATAGGACTAGATGGGACACATTGCACTAGTTACTGACTAGTGTTCAATCTCAAAAGAAAAATATCCCTAGTGTATTAAATATTCTTATTCTTGCTAGAGTTAACTTTGTTCTTTCCCATAGATTGGCTGAACCGAAATGTCTCGCCGTTCCACAAGAGGTGCCCTCCCCTGGTCCAAGTGATGTAGTGGATAACGCTTTGAAGCTTGAAAAGACGGGCCATTGGGTTCGAGTCTCATTGGGAACAGCATCACCGACTGTCGGAGGTGGCAGGCACATTTAGCTGACGAGTACCCAATAGGACGAAATGCGCATCCTGGTAGATTCCAATGCCAAGTAACATTTTGAACATTCTTTTATTAGAAGAGGGAAGAAATCAATAATTCTACTTACTTTAATTGGATATACAACAGCTTCTTTTACAAGACGTTTCGCTGAACTTAAACCAATTATATCATCCCACCGAACATTAGGATTCTGAAGGAATATATCCTAAATAAATAAATAAATAAATAAGTAAAAAGAAGCCACTTTATATACGACTACAATTCAAGGGCAATACATCAAGCGAGATAATTGCGAAGAAATTAAGAAAATCAGTTCAAAGGACTTTTAATGCTGGCGAACTACACGTCTTATTCTCTACACAACCGATGGTAATTCCTCGACTGAAAGATGAAGTACCTAGACTAGCTAGCCACTTGAAATTGTATCAATCAACTCAACTGCGCTCGGTGTGGAGCGAGTTATATTGACCGTTGCTCTAGGAACTTGATTTTTCGTGCTCACTCGAGATGTAGTGGAAACCATTTACAGCTCGATATTGGACCATCTGGTGCAAACCGGCCACAAAGTCAGTCAGCGTAGAAGAATCTTTTTCCATAGTCTACCGGGTGCCTAATAAATTGCCAAAATCATCGAAGCACCACACGCTCCAAACAACAGAGACTATTGCAATTGGCCTCAAACAACCAGTGCTCTGTGTTCAAAAGAAGCAAGTCCAGCCCCTACTACTGCTCTGGCCAGCCTTCAGTAGAGACTATAAATTCATGAATTTGTGATATTATCTTTCCTAATTTTTCTGACATTCAGCTTATTTTGTGTTAATGCTATTGAGCTGTATTATTATTATTGCTCCCTTGGGTTCCTAGTGGAACATAGGGCTTCAACTGCACGTCTCCATTTTCTTCTGTCTTCTGCTATACTTTTCGCCTGCATCCATGTTAATCCATATTCTTTCAACTCCTCTTCACACGACCTCCTCCATGTCACCCTTGGACGTCCCACACGCCGCTTCCATTTCGGCCTTGTTCCACTCGAGGGCTTGGCGCGTGATGTCACCCAGCGGTCTCCTCAGCGAATGTTCGATCCATCTCCACTTTCTCCTGCATATTTGTTGGGCGATTGATTCTTGCTTTGTTTGTTCCCATAATTCCTTGTTGGTGATTCTTTGAGCTGTAATCTATCAATATTATTGATTTGATGTTATTTAAACATTAGTGTTCATAACACTAACTCATTCATTCACTATAATGTATATATGACTGTAGAGCCTGATGATGAAGGGTTATCGAAAAGAGTACTCTTTGTTCAGTATTCATTCTTTTGAAAATTTTAATGGGCATTTTTAATCAGTTAAAATAAGTAATATATATAAGTTAGTTTAGAGAGGGAAGGAAAGCCGGACATTTCCTTTCAAAGCATCTCTTCTGTATCAAAGTATTAAATTGGCGGAGGTTAGAATTCGTCAGTCCATTGTATTCTGGAAGGTGTGATTAAATATTTAAATGGCCACTTGATAACCTGGCAAAGTTCTACATTAGCGTCCGAAAGGGATGCGAACGCACGGGTGACCTTGAGTCGACCAATCAGAATAATGGAGGATTTTTGAACAAAAATGTACGTATATTTACATAAAAAAGCATGAAAGAAAAGCATTAAACAGGGTATTATTGTTTAATATGAGATAAAAAAGCGACCCAGTTATCCTGAGGAGTGTCAGCTTTAAATTAAGCCAATTCCTATACATGTAATCATCTAGATGACTAAAAATAACTTGATTTTGAGAGACGTTTATAGCCCTTATTCTATTTTTGAGTCTTCCCCAAAAACCTTCTATGGAATCGTAGAGTACCAGTTCTAGGATCGACAAAATTATCAGAATGGTTAACTCGATGGTGTATCTATCCCAAATCCGGAAATCGGTTATGTGCTGCCCATTCATCTATGTGAATGGTAGTGTGCCTGGCAAGACAAGACTCTGAATAATAGGGAAAAGTGTGTCTGCACTCCTGTCCGGAATAAGTTCGATAAATCCTTTCCGAATCTGGGCTTCGTGAATTCACACAACTCAAAAGTTATTCGCTCTAGCACGTCCTCGGTTGTACTTCTTCTTTATAAGGACCGTTTCATCGATATGAACCACTACACTGACTCCTCCCAACACTTGAGTAGTACTATTCATTTTCCACGACTCTAAATCTCGACAAAATTGGAACCATTGCACAGAGTAGACGTCAACGTATTTTCGATCTGAGATGCAGTTGACCTCACACCGCACTTCAAAACCCAGTATCGGCAAAGAAACAGTATATTCGTCAGGAAAAGTTTCGAATTTTCGAAGAAAGTTCCTAGAAGACAATTAACTGACAGTTTCACTTATCAGTGCGAACACTTACCCGTTTCCTACACTGTGTACATCTAGACATATACCCATCAATGACCTTGGAATAAGGTTGTAGATTCATTGAAGCACCATAGGTACATATACGAGAATATCCAATTAATCCATTATCCAGACAGTATTGAAATACCTGATCTGGGTGAAATTCTCATCTGAGCAGATGAACAGCATTCATTCTTGCGCTAGAATAATGGTAACTTTCCTCGACCAACGACTAGCGAGCGTTCAAGGTTATTTGAGCGTTCGCACTCCTGGGACGCTATTCTTGAACTTCGTCGGTAACCGAAAGGCGTTGGGCTCAATTCTCGCAACGGTCATGATGGGAAGTTATATACTAACTAGTGTTTACAGAGAACTACCACATTCAAATCGATATTGGATTTCCGTTTAGTCCACCCTATGTCATCAAAAACACTGTGCGTCGGTGGCACAGTGGTTAGGACTCTCGCCGACCATGCACATGGTCCGGGGTTCGAGCCCACTCCGGCGCACACCTGATATCTATGGTCGGCCTGCAAAATTTGGGCTACTGATATCCACGCTGAAAATTCCATACTTGTACCAAAAATACAGTGTGGAATCAAGCCGTAAATCAAAAATAAAAAAAAAATCAAATCAGATAATGAAATGCCTAAATTACAGGCTGTCTACTATCACGAATGATCTTCCTGATTGCAGTAAATTGAATAACGAGGCAGACAACGGGAAATGAGGAAACAGGCATAAATTGGACTCACAAAAAACAACTTGGAGGATCTGGACTTCGCCGATGATATATGTCGGATTTCCCACAAACTGGAAGATATGCAAGTGAAGAGCAACAAGTTCGAAAGAGAAGAAGCATCAAAGATAGGTCTTCAGGTGAATATAGATAAAACAGAGATGATGAAGATTCCTGGCCAACAGAAACAGCAACAACAACAGAAACAGACAAAAGTCAGCATAAATGAGAGGAACCTGAAAGAAACAGCCTCCTTCACCTACCTGGGAAGCATCGTTTCTACTACAGGCTAACGGAACTGAAGAGGATATCAAAGCATGGATAGGAAAGCAAGACAAGCTCTCATTATTCTCAAGTCTGTGTGGAAGTCAACAGTGCCACTCAGCATGACATTGAAAATAACATCCGGATTTTCAACTCCAATGTGAAGTCACTGCTACTCAATATACGGATCAGAGAATTGGCCAGCGCGTCATAAAGAGCATCTCAAACAAACTTCAGACCTTCATTAATAGTTGTCTTCGCTCAATACTACTCATGATCAGATGGCCGGCCAGAAAAGATCAGAAACAGGGATCTCTGTCCATGAACGAACCAACTCAGTAGGAACCTATTGTGAAACAAATAGGCAGGAAGAAATGGAGATGGATTGGCCATACTCTGAGGAAACAAGCCATCAAGTGACATCACTAGACAAGCCATCGCTCGAGTGGAACCCGAAAGGGAAGTGGGCAGCGAGTTGGTCGTCAGTGGGAGGGTGACTTGGAGGAGGTCATGCGAGGAGGAGATGAAAGCATGTGGACAGACCTGGAGCGGGGTGAAAAAGTTGGCAGAAAAAAGAAGGCAATGGAGGTGCGCAGCTGAAGCCCTATATTCCTCTAGGAATTAAAGGATATAATAATAATACTAAGTTACAGGGCGAAAAAACTCACTAGTACCATACAATAAATCTAAGACAGGAACCAAGACAGACAGGATAAGTTTTGGAACTTAATAATTAGCAACATAAATTAATCAGGAAGTATTTATGAAATTGTAAAAATAAGATGAATAATAATAATAGGGACGATAAACAGAACGAAAATACACAGCAAGATGACGAGATCAACACTAGGGAATTTATCACGCCTGTATTGATTCCAAACAAGGAAGGAACCTCTGAAACCTCACGGAGAATTTTTAACGAAGTAGGAATAAAAGTGTCATTTTTAAATTCACAAACTCACTTAGATACCAATTATTCAGGTCAGAGGTGTCTATAAAGCCCATTGGAAACAAAATAATTTGTCTAATACCTTGTGCAATGGTTGTCAGGTCAAATTCATAGGTCATAATAGTAGAATGAGGTTAGTCTGACTAGTGAGGCATAAAAGCCTAACACAATCTAGATTAGTTGACCGTTTTATAAGAATTCTAGCGAATAGCTCCGTTATAGTGTACACGACAGAAGACAAGGGACAGGCAACAGATCGTTTATTGAAAAAATCGTAGATTTTTATGTACATTATTATTAGCGTTATTGTTAGCAGAGAAGCAACGTTTTCTGATTGGTTGTTTTCTTGCTGAAGGTTATTCTCTATTGATTGTGACCGTCTCATTGGAAAGTTAAGTTTGTGTATCTGTAAATCGTATTTGCAGACGTTAAGCCTCTGTGATTGGTTGGTGAGTTCCTCAAGGTTAAGCCTTGTTATTGTGTTTGTTTCTCATGACCTCGATGCGGCACGTAAACACTGACGTAAACTGATGTCTACAATTTTCGGCTTGCGGCCAGCTCTCATCACAACAGTACTGCACACAGTTACACACAGTCATACAATAAGATGGGATAGGATGACAGTTTTAAAATCTAATGTAACAGGCTGAAGGAAGAGATTGATCACGGAAGCGTTATTCATCGAATCAACTGAAAACGCATGCAACTGGAGTGATTAAACACCTGTCCAGTTGGAAATCAGGAAAATTCTACTGCTTCCCGTACGTCAAACAAGAAGGAATAAAGAGAACTATAAAAATCTCAAGTCTCGAAGTTCTGTACTGACTATTGATGATAAGATTATGAACCATAATAAACTGTGTTCGAAACGTTGTCATCCAGTGAATAAGGTTACTGTTTCATTGTGTTCGTGTGTGTGTGTGATATATCCAATAAACAAATTATTATTAAAGCGAACTTACACGTGATATGGTCAAGGCTAGGCTTCTCCATTCCCCCGTATAGCCTAAATAACTTCCCAGGGGTTTCAGTAAACGCTCCTGTAAAATAAAAATTTAAGTTATTAATATTTTTTTTAATAATACGACTACTATAATTTAAAGACAGTTTTCTTCTAGGGTTACTGACAACTCTGTGTAATAGCTGTCAGCGTCACTTTATACTGAGAAACACACTGAAAACCAAGACGTACTGGACAGCGATTTCATCCCAGTACACACACACACACACACGCCCAGCAGTGCGCCAACAATCAAACCAAAGAGCGTATTGACCAAACAATGGGTTAATCCGCTGGCTATTCATAACCACCGTGTTAGAACCAAAGAACTCCTGGAAACATTTCGACTTCTGTCAATTCGTGTTGCGCAGAGCCACTGCCCGGTTCTTTCTGGTTCTCTACATGATTTCAGTTCATGACAATGTCAGTACAAGTTGATCACGGATTAATATCAGTTAGGGAACCATTGAAAACCAGGAAGTACTGGACAGCTGTTGTTTCATCCCAGTTTAGGAATCATCGTCAGTACGCACCTACTGTCGGGGTTCGAACCCAGGACCTTCCGGTTACAAGCAAGCAAGCTCGCATACCATTCAGCTCACTGGAGTTCTAGTGAGAAGTCGTAACCGCTGAGGTCCATCTAGATGTCACGTGTGAGGATGGATGTCCCACCAACGACAATGGTTGGGGTCGCGCTAAATCATGAATTGGTAGAAGGTAGAATTCAAGAGCCATTGAATCGGGTCCCAGTGGCTGAATGGTGTAAGAGCTTGCCTTGTAATCGGAAGGTCCTGGGTTCGAACCCTGACAGTGGGTGCGTACTGCCGATGGTTCCCAAACTAGGATGAGACAGTAGTTGTCCAGTACTCCAGTGCTGGTTTTCAATGGTTCTCTAACTGATATCAAACCGTGATCAACTCGTAAAAAACAAAACTAACCCTTGCAAACCAAACTATAGAAAATATCAATACAGTCTTTACAATCTAAAGGTTTTTTGTCTTTTACATTAACATTGAACATTTTTAAAAATCCCTTCTTTCCCAGTGAATCGTTTGCATTGTGTCCAGGGTCTATCTGAAACAGTCAACGTTTATTATTATGTTGTTCTGGAAACCACCTTCATACTGTTGTTGTTATGGTGTTGCAGTTGATAAGGAATAAAACCACTTCCTTCAGTATTTCAGACAAACACCTTGGCTGACGACTGCCGAAAAGCACAGAAGGCTTCCTGTCCATTGCCTCCAACCGTCTAACATCTCAGTTCATACCGAGCTACCTGCCTCTGTGACCACATTACAAACTTCACGGATAAAATTCAACCTATACTATCACCAAAGTCTAGACGCATGTCATGTCCAACCAAAGTACACCTTCATGATAAAAGACAACAGCTGAGAGACATTTTATTCATACTCCCAATTTCATAGTCTCCTGAAGGATGAAGGAGGTAAGCCTGCAAATTTGATATTTTTGGAATTTTTGCTGCTTTACAACAACAACAAGTAGAATACACTCAGAGACCCAATACAACTTTCTTTGCACAGTAGACAATTACTTAACGCTTACCTAACAATAAAAATTAACGCTTACATTTAACGCTCACTCTGATGAAATGAACTTTTTTAAGTATGCCGTTGATCTAACTATTTCAATGTCTGTTAACTCCCGGCTTGACTGTACTAAGATGAACAGCTTTCTATCAGGAGTTACGAAATGGTCTTCGTGTAACGGCCTTAAACTAAATCCTTCCAAATGTCAGACTGTTAATTTCAGTTTCCGAAGTAAACAAAAGTTAAATGAAGCCGTTGGTTCCTATGACCCTTGCACAATTCATGATACTGAAATAGAAATCAAGTCTGAAGTTAAGTATCATAGAGTAATTCTTTCTCCTGACCTGTTCTGGTCTTCCCAGACATCTTAGTGATTTCCAGAAGAATATTTCGTCTGACTTTTTATATTAAGAAGTTAAGGCACTCAGGCATAACCCAACCTGTCCTTCTCTTACAGTTTGTCAACTTGTGCATCTCACCTATTCTTCTTTACTGTTCACCATTATTCTTTCCCCTGGATGGCTTAAACAAGACTATGTCATGCTATGTCGTAGAACTCGGATGACTGTCAGTAGGGGGAGTGATGGTATCCCGATGGGCAATATCGTTGACATTGTCACTGAGAGGCACTTGATGTCATGCAACAAATTTACTAAAGGAATTTTGTCAGACTGCGAGCATCCACTGCAGCACTCACAGCTCCAACCTTGTGTCTCCTTAGGTAAAACAAGAAGTCTTTTCAGAAGAATTTATGCATATACGTCTAAGTATAAAAATTCCACTGTACCGTATTTGGGTGCACGTACTTTATGTGATGAAAATAGTGTTAGAGATGAACTAACTGACTAACCTTCTTTGCACTACTAAATAAACCATTTCCTCCACCCTTACAGTATCAAACTTTATTGTTATTGTATTTCTTATATTTATAATCCTCTCAATTGTTTTTTCATAAGTGTGAACGTAAATTAAGCTGTGTTAGTAACTGTTGTTTTTGTATTTCCCCCCACCATGCTGCTATATCAACAGAACATTAGATCCAAAAATCTATAACATGCTAAAATTTTCAAACTCAATCGACAATACTGTTTGAAACAAACTCACTGTTATTGTTATTATTATTATTACTATATTTATTATTCTCAATTCGTACTTCGAATAGGTTTGACTTTATATCGTAAATGTGGACAAATTCCTCTGGTTAATTTTTGTTTTAATTTTATTTATATATTTTGAGTAAATCGGATGCGAGATATTGTGACAAATGCTGAGAATTCCATTCTGTATTACAAGTACTGTCTATTTTGGAATAAAGTAGATTATTATTATTATTTTGTACGAGTTCTAGTAGCACTATTCTAGTAGCACTCTGTAAATCTGATCTCAATCAAACCTTGAGGTTGATTACCAACCACCAACTGATGCTAATGATCCTTGGTGATATTAACTCTCCTCTTTTTTAACAAGAATAATTGCAACGAACAGTTACGGTTTCAGTAACCTCTTCTTCTTCAGACCCTACAATTATAAATCCATTAATTTTAGCATGTAATAGCTAGTTAGGGCTGAATAGTTCATGAGCTTGCCTCGACTTGTAACGGGACGTCCTTTGGTTCGAATCCCGGTATTTGCGTACTGCTGAAGAGTCCCACACTAGGTTGGCGAAACAGCTGGCTTTCTAGTACTCCCAGCTGGTTCGCCAATGTCAGCTCATGATGAAACCCTACAACTAATTGGTCACAATACCCACAAAAACCAATACTTGGAAATTAATCTGACGCTCATTAGCGACTGGCAGTTTACCTAGGGTTCTAGTGGGAAGACGCCATAAGTAGGGTACAGCAGGTTGAAAGTGAGGCAGTAACTCATCGAAGAAGGTATTGCGAAGTGGTCGCGTTATGCCATGAATTGGCAGAAGTAAGAATTCATAGGTTGGACAGTGGATTGGGTCCCAGTGGCTCAGCGGTCTACGAGCTCGACAGCCTTGTAACCAAAAGGTCCTGGGTTGAAACTCGCTGTGGTGGGTGGACGCGCACTGATAAAGAGTCGCAAACTAGGATGAAACAGCTATCCAGTACTCCCATCTGGTTTTCAAATGGTTCTCTAACTGATATCAGTTCATGGTTGAAACCCTCCAACCAATGTTACGTAAACCTTGGGTTGCAGAAATAATAAGGAAAGTCACTAAGACGTTTTTCAATGAGATAAAGGTAGAAGGGGTAAAGCAGTCTGATAGGGATACAAGGTGTTATTTGCTGACATTTGTAGAGGCTGTTTTGACCTTGTTGTAGGTCAAGGTAAGCAAAGCTGTTGGACACACTTCTGCCGGACGAAGTCGAGCTCTTCTGGACAGACTGCCGTCGCTTACATATTAGGTCACAGAGGAAGCTTATTCCGGTTTAGTTGTAAATATCCGCACTATTTATTCAATTGACTTCCAATTCGCCCAACCATAGAACTGCATATTCATGCATGTACATGGATGGGTAAAGCCCTGTGAGTACGACTTATGTTAACTAGCTTCACAGGAGCTCAAATATCATGACTTAAATTCATAAAAAAGGGAAGAAAGAAAGAAGGAAAAATAAAATTCTCCTTTAACACCTTTATACCTACTTGTGGATCTTCTGAAAGGTGATTATTCTCTTCCAAAGGTAAACGTGTCTCTTGATTAAGCATTGCTCTATAATCAATGATTTGACGTGGAAAATTTTGTCGATTTGAAGACGACAAGTGTCCATTTTGGCTTGAATCCATATGTTGGTGTGAAACACTTAACGGTATACTACTTTTAATTGAACGTCCTGATGTTTGTATCGAAGGTTCTTGTTTGCCTTGTACACTTAAACCATTCGACAATCGATTATTTTCAATTTGCTTTATTCGGTTAACAAAGAAAATAGCAATTATGAGAAATATATATGACAAACTATGGCGACCATTCTATCAATTCGTCAATCTATCCAATTTTTAAAGAAAATCAAAAACATTCAAGTAGAAGACAATGAAATAATGGTGTCCTTTGATGGGTTCACAGCATTACTATTATATACTTCAATTAGTCCAAAACTAGCAACAGAAACTATGCAACAATTTTATTCTATAGTGATGAAAACATACAAAAACGCAGTGATGTTCAACTTGGATAGACGCCATAAAAAATCATGCCTTACAACAACATACTTCCAATTCAATACTCAAATATATATAAACAGATAAAAGGAACACACCAATGGAATCATCGCCCATATCAGGATTAATAGCCGAAAAGCCGTCATGCAAAGATTAGAATTAATAGCTCTACCCACCTATAATTAAACCGAAAATCTCGATGGGTACGTTACGTTGATGGTACATTTGTAATAATTAAGAGAAATGTGATTTAGAATATACCCATAAAATAATAAACAACATATTTGAAGACATCGAATTCACCACGAGAGAAGAAGAATTAGATAACAAAATCCCATTCCTCTTAGATGTCTTAATCAGGAGAACCAACACAGGAAATTTAGAAACACATAAATATATAGAAAATCAACGCACACACACAGATCAAATACTCAACTATATTAGCAATAATCCAATTACTCACTCACAAAAGAAACTGTGTGCACACATTGTTCACAAGAGAATTTAAACACAACACTGTAGCACTACTCCAAAGTTGAAAAGAATGGTTATCCACAAGATTCCAATAAAAAGTGTTTAAAATCGAATCACAACATCAACAAGGAACCATAATCAAAGAACACAAGAAAATTCATCCTACCATACACATGAAAAATATCTCTGAAATAACAGCTAGAATACTGAAACCGTTTCATACAGATATAGCACACAAGCCAGCCAGCCAGTCAAATCGCTTAATTAGATATCCAACAGAAAAAGGAGATTAAATTAATACCATTTACAAAATAAATTGCATGTATGATCTCTAACAGGCATTACATCAGCCAGAGTGGGCATCCTTTCCTTTCGAATCAGAATTCAGGAACACAAATCAACCGTGAAAAGACACGATATATATATTCCTGTTTCATATCAATGCATATAGACAATTATGGATATCAGTTTGATGATTGGGATAATGTCAAAATTTTAGACAGAGGAAACACTACCAAAAGTGAAGTCAGGGAATTCCTAGAAGCCTGGTACTCAGACGAAAATGCAATTAACAAACATACGTTAATTAGTACACACCAAATATACCAACTAATAAAAAGTAAATCAGATGTGACGAGAAAGTTTAAAATCCAAGTCAATATGTAAAGATGGTTAGGTTACCAGGAGACGCAATTCTATCACTCACTCATGAAAAATTTAAATCATTTCACTTTATGCTACATATTGCTGTGAAGATGTTGTCCAGCAGCAGAGGGGACGACGAAATCTCCGCAACTAAACCGACCAGCTCCTCAGAGAACACTATTAATTGCAAATCATCCACCTGAGCTACAAATCTGCTTTATTATTTCAAAACTAAGACGGTATATTTTACGCAATCTACTCAGTAGAGTAGGAGGAGAGGTAATCGTTAGAAATAGAATAATATCAACGCAAACAGATCGAGTACAGGGATGGGAGAATCAGAGAGGGAGAGAGAATAAATGAATAACCATGGATAAAATCCTTTGAAGCTTTGAATATAATCAAGAATAAGGTGACTTCAAATGGAATGAATGCAGCTCATTGACTAAAGCACTTGATTATTAGGCAATGAGTCTCAAAGTTCGACCTCTCCCCAACCTGTTTCACCATTGGTAACTGATATATATATATATATATATATATATATATATATATATATATATTATATTTCTCATAGTTTACTACATGTAAAAATTTGTTCTGAGTATCAGCCAATGAGTGATCCACAACGGAAAGCTCAGCAAGGCGTTTGGAGTAAACACATGAGTCAGACAAGGGTGCTTATTATCACCGATGAATGATATTCCTAATTGTGGTGGACTGGATTATGCGTCAGACAGTGAGTGGGAAACGAGAAGACAGGGATATCCTGGACAGACAGACATGAAGAACCTAGAAGACCTGGATTTCGCACGTGGATGACTTGTGTTTGATGTCACTGTCACAAAATCGAAGACTTACAAGCGAAAACCGACCGAAAAACTGGTCGAAGAAGCAGCCGGCGAAACCAGGACTCCAGATGAGCATAGACAAGACGAAGGTAATGAAAATAATCAAACAACAACAACAACAACAGCAACATCCAGCGCCAATCACTATCAACGAGACGGATTTGAAAGAGGTTACTTCATTCACTTATTTAGGGAGCGTTTTCTCAACTATAGGAAGTCGGAACGGACGAGGATGTCAAGTCGAGCGAGAATCAGGAAGGCGAGAAACACATTCATCAACCAGAAATCAATCTGGAAGTCTTCGTCACTCAGCCAGCATCAACAACAAAATTCGGTCGGATTTTCAATACAAACAACGCCAAGTCAGTCAGCTCTTCTATACGGATCATAAACTTGGCGGGTGGTCGCAAAGAATATTTCCAACAGCCTGTTGCAGACTTTTATCAACAACTGTCTTCGCTGGCTCTATACTGAAGATCAGATGGCCAGACCGGAAAGAATCACCAAAAAGAAACTATGGGAACAAACAAAACAAGAACCAATCACCCGACAAATATTATGCAGGAGAAAGCGGAGATGGATTGGACACTCACTCGCTTAGGAGGCTGCTGGGTGACATCGCGCGCGCGTCAGGCCATCACTCAAGTGGAACCAGGCCGAAAGGGAAGCGGCGAGTAGGACGTCCAAGGGTGACATGGTGAAGATCGTGTGAAGAGGGGTTGAAAGAGTATGAACTAACATGGATGCAGGTGAAAAGTACAGCAGAAGGAAGACAGAAGCAAGTGGAGACGTGCAGTAGAAGCCGTATGTTCCACTAGGAACTCAAGGGAACAATAATAATAATAATAATAATAATAATAATAATAATATAGTAATCAGCCAATGAAATGACATTTACTTGTCAGTCTCATGATATCACTTGCGTATGACTTCGAAACTTGAGTTTTATAGTTTTCTGTCTTCTCTCCTATTTGTCGTCGTTGGGGTAGTAGAACTTTCCAGATATCTGGGTGAACAGGTGTTGAATCATTCCTATTACATGTATTCTCAGCCAGTTAATTCGGTAAACAAAGCTTCTGTTATCAAACTCTCCCTCCACCCTGTGACATAAGACTTTAGAACTGTCATCTCATCCCATCATTCTATTGTATGGTTGTGTGTGATTGCATGTAGCGGGTGCTATAGCTGAACTATCCTCTAGATTTCTTATCTTATTCGGGTCAACTAATCTAGATTTTGCTAAGTTTTTATGTTCGGCTAGTCTGACTCCCCCTGTTACACTACTTTGACCTATGTATTCGACCTGGCAATCATTGCAGGCAGGATATTAGATAAACTAAATTGTTTTGTTTTAAAGGCTCTACAGGATTGATGCTTTAACCGACGGAGCTTGTTTCTGATTTAGTTTGTGGGTTTGAATGCCAGTCACTTTTATTCCTGCCTTGTTAAGAATTCTGCGTAAGGTGGTTTCCGAGGTTCCTTTTTTATATGGAAGGAAGTAGTACTGATGATTTAGATTCCTTATTGTTGGCGTTGTCATTATCCTGTGAATATTTGACATGCACGTCGTCATTAATATTATTCTTATTATTGTTATTATCACTATCACTACTGAATCGAACATCCGACTAGCAACAAGAATGACACTTTGATTGGACACTAGTAACTAGTGTTATGCGTCTAATCCTTTCTTTGATGCAGACTGAATTCCATCAGTCAGGTTAGGTTTGCAATTTGGCCGCCATTCTAGGTAGCTCGCCATTACGGTGGAAATTGACTTGATAATAACAAATGGTCGGAGGCGATCGGCAGAAAGGCTTTGACCCAGGTTTCGTGCTATTTGACACTCACCAGTCAGCAAGGTGTATCTGTAACCTTGAAGGAACTCATGTCCCTTCTGAGTCTGCACCAAAGAAAGGACTAGACGCATAACACTAGTTACTAGTGTTCAATCGAAGTATCCACCACAGTCATCCTACAGGAGGTCACTCGCTAGCCCGAATAGCTAGCTCACCGGTAAGGTCTCTGACTGCATCACTGGGTGACGCGGGTTCGAATCTCAGAAGGAACATGAGTTCCTTCAGGGTTTCAGATACGCCTTGCTGACAAGTGCCAACTAACAAGAAACCTAGGTCCAAGTCTTCCAGTGGCCGATTGCCTCCAACTATCTAATATTGATAATGACACTTCTCTGTCAAATGTAGTTCTGAAGTATAATGAATAACAAGATGAGTGCAAGTTTCTAGACAGATAAAGCCAACAAACTGCAGTTTCTATCTAGGCTGTACAACATAAGCCAAGTGAATATCTGAACTAAAACAGCAAGAGTCCCAGTAGACATATTCTATACTTTACAGTTTTAGTGTAATGAGCAAAAGTTCCATATTCGCTTTGTATTTATACTTTTGTGAATTCTTCCCCTGACAGACGTCAGACTTTTGTTAGACACACTCAGCTTGCTAAATAAACAATTAATACTATTTGCTCTTATCAGACTATTTTTCATTTAGAATTTTTTTATTATTATTTCCTTTAATTCCTAGAGGAACATAGGGTTTCAGCTGCACATTTTCATTGCGTTCGGTTCTCTGTTATAGTTTCCACCTGGCTCCAGATCTGCCCACATGCTTTTATCTCCTTTTCACATGACCTCCTCAAGTCGCCCTTGCACTGACGACCAACTCACCGCTTCCCTTTCGGTTTCCACTCGAGCAATGGCTTGTCTAGTGATGTCACTTGATGGTTTCTTCGGAGTATAGCCAATCCACCTCCATTTCTTCCTGCTTATTTGTTGCACAATCGGTTCCTGTTGGGTTCGTTCATTGCCAGAGATCCCTGTTACTAATTTTTTCTGACCATCTCATCTTGAGTGGTAGTGAACGATGAAGGTCTGTAGTTTGTTTGAAGTGCCCTTCATGACACCACTCCAATCTCTGATCTGTATAGTGAGTAGTACTGGCTTCACATTGGAGTTGAAAATCCGGATCTTATTTTAATTTTCATGCTGACTGCTGTTGACCTCCACACAGACTTGAGAGTAATGAAAGCTTGTCTTGCTTTCCCGAATCTCGCACTTTGATATCCCTGTCAGTTCCGTCCTCCTGTAGTTGAAACGATGCTTCCCAGGTCGGTAGGTGTGTGAGTTGTTTCTTTTAGATTTATCCCATTTATGCTGATTGTTGCCTTTTGTTGTGTTTAGAATTTTGGTACATTTTAAAATAAGACGGAAGAATGCGTCATGTTGAAATCTTGTATAACTCCTATAAATTTATATGTTTTGAACATATTCTTAGTCATCTGAACAATCTACATCATCCCATCTTTGAGCCAGAAATATTATCATAGTATTAAACATAGTTATGTGACAGCGCTTGAGGACCGTTAGCGGTTATTTATTGGAAGCGCTGACTTTAAAACTAGTTTAGAATTATTTGAGTGAGTTTTAAACCCCAATCAGGTAATAACTAAAGTCATTAATATCCTCAATTTAAACCACAGGTATGTAAAAGACACTTCAAAAGACAAATAACCTACCACCACGACATTTGCAGGAATCGTACAAAAAGGTGAAGTGAGGAGAAGTAACTAAAAACACATAATACAGTACACTTGAAAACAGATTTGTTCACCTTTGTACTTTCATCAGTGAACCTGAACAAATCTGTCTACCAGACAAGAATGTGCCCCTATAATAGGATGCAAATATGTCATTTACTGGAGAATAAACCTCTGTAAAAGAACATAGAGTATTCAAAAACTTACTTCGTGACCTAGTCCATTTTCTGCACGTGCTCTTGTTACCTAGAATGTAAAAATCAAGTTAGGTGTAAATAATTAAGACAAGAGTATGGAATTAAAGAAACTAACTAGCTAGAGAATCAGTGCAGAACTTAACACAGACGTACAGCAGGTCATCAGTTTGTCACACTGTGTTAAAGCGCACCTAAGAGAAGAGATTGATGTCCCTAAAATGGACATGCATCGTTTGGATAAAGGGAATAATTAACTTAAGACTAATGAAGACTTATCAAAATATGGGGACTGATAAGGGATGAATGTATCTGCAGCATTTAAAATGATTTCCGTCAATATAACCAACAGATTTTAACTATTTGAAGGTGTCGACTGACTGTTAGAGTCTTTGGAAATGCATGACATCACTTTTGAAGACTTTATATGATTCGGTGTAAAACTGTTTCAAATAACACACCAAACATTCATGCACCTTCCGATTTCAAGCAATAGTCCCCAATTAATATTCCCTGAAATATGTCCCTGATAGGAGTAAGAAAACAGCCTTCATTTATTCAATGGATATTAAGTCATCAGCTGTCGTTAACAGGTAACAATACCAATGCAGACTGTTAAACCTATCTACTCGACTCGATAGGTGAACTGAAAAAAAATTACGGAATTCAGAAGATGGAAGAGGTGGGAGTGTTAAGTGCCTCGTCTACTAAATATTTAGTGGCAAAAATCTGAAGTCTGTATTCATGGTTATGATTTTATTGGTTGTCAGCTCAAAAGAACTAATGCATCTTCCTAGACAAACGAAACGGTGTGTAGTACCCCTATACCAACTGTAAACGTGCTTTTTAATCTAATTTGTATGCTTGTATTATATGTGTACACAGACCGATTTTATATGTACTTCGCAAACATTTGTGAATTTACTGTTGAACATTACCTTGACTCAATTTCGAAATTTGACTACTGCTATAATACACGATCTTACTCTTCGTAATTGTCTTTTGGTTTTACGTTGTGGGCGTCTAGTAGCCACAATGTCTGCGCACATTTATAAATGTGAAGTACTAGAATATACGTGTATGCAAGTTTAGTCAAATAACGCACGCAACAAAATTGGTGAGCCCGACGATAAATTTCGACCCCGACGACAACTTGTTCATCCCGACGATAACTTGTTCACCGCGATGATAACTCGTTGACTCCGACGACCACTTGTTCACCACGACGCATCATTACACTTGCTGGATTATTTATACCCTAACTTTATCGGATCTATATATATCCATATAACAGACATTTCGAACTCATTCTTGTGCTTTCTCATCACACAACTTGCAGTAATCTGTGGTAAGCATCTGCATTGCATGTTTTTCTGTTTTGCCATATTCTTAGTGTGCATAATTTTTCTATTTTGTTACTCTTAAACCATTTTTCTACGAATTGTAACATGTCTTCCAATACCTCTGATAACTTAGAGCTAGGATCTGTCAGTACTATTTCTCTTACTGTACCAGTTTTTAAGCCCAGAGACCCGCATCTTTGGTTTGCATGACTGGAACATTATTTCACTGCCAATAAGCCCACGTCACAGACGGCTAAATTCGGCATTTTGAGTACAGTACTCCCAGACGAAATCGCTGAGCAGGAACGACAATACGTCGTTCAACCCAGCACAGACGCTTCTTACGACAAGTTGAAGGAAGAGGTACTTCGATGCACTTCGCTTTCAGATAGGCAAGCACTCGATCGTTTTTTAAGCAATGTAGAGCTAGATGATAAAACCCCATCGCAACTCATGAGGCATATGCAAAGTCTAGTAGCAGGAAGGGAAATCGATAACCGTCTCTTTTACCAAATCTGGCTGCGATGACTGCCTGCAAACATTCAGCAAGTTCTTGCTTTCGGAGATGACGACATCGACATAGAAAAGCTCACCAAAATCGCGGATCAAATGTACGAGAGGTCAACACCTCAATCTGTTGCTTCCACTAGCAGAATACCAGACACTCACGATAGGATACAGACTTTAGAACATAAAGTCGACACCTTACTGAGTCAGTTAGCAACACTGACCACACGCAACAGGTTCACATCTGCAACCACTTAACTACTTGAAGTCGATAAAAATGGTTCTCAAGTCGCAGTTTAAGTAGAGAAAGTTAAAATGCATCTAAAAGTTATCAAATGAACCTTCTCAAAAGTTCAGAAACCTATGACATTTTAGTTTTTAAAAGACTATGTTGTCTACGCGCATTAAGTAAAAATAAAAATTTGAGCGGCCATGCTGTAGTCTGGAATAACTATTATAATCTCAGGCAAGCATGAGTCATTGCAAGAATGATTTGATAGTTTAATATATTAAGGTATGCGATCATGTCATATTTTTAGTCCATAGCACTTACTTTGTTTGTGGAAGTATTCTCATCAGTGTTCGGAGAATTTAGCGAGTAACTTTGTCCAATATCAAGGATAGAGTTTTGTCTGTTGCTAATGCGGGGTAAAGAAGGTCGTCTTTCAAATACAATGGGCTGATTACAATTGGCATTTAACATAAACCTACTTCTTGGTTTTTGCTGAACCGTTCAGATATCGCAATTTATCTCCTTTCAAAGGCTTATCTAGATTGGGAAGAATTAGGCATTAAAAATTATAAAACCTGATAGCTTCTTAGTTATTCTTGGGTACTTTTGGAATTTGACAAAGTAGTAACTTTCATATTCCAGCAAAACTGTTTCCAAATCAACATTGTCACATACTTCGTACTTTCGGAAATCCAGGTTGGTTTCTTTTGACAAAGAATTTGCTGATTCAACGTACCTTCGACAATAATACTAATAAAAGCAATTACCCTTCTTCGCTCAAATAATGCATAACTAATATTAGCAGGTTTTTCTTTCTTGCGGTGGTACGCTGCTCTTCCTAAAGGAGGTTGAACATTGATATAGCATCTTACGGCTTCTCTAGCCTGATTAGCCGTCCTCATCGTGTGATAACTTAGTTCCGCCATTTTATTTGTTCAAGAAAAGCATTTTGAAAGAATTTCAGCAAACGCCACAACAACAAAATTTCGTTAGGTGAGTAAAACAAATCTCAAGGTCACCTCCACTATTGGTTGTAGTACATTGTGAAAGACTATTTCTTACTTAAGATTTGGCCAGTTTAAGCTTTTAATACCTTTCCTTGCGTATAATGTGATGAGAATGTATTAATATGCTAATTTTTGGACACTCACTCATTGATTACTTGCGACACTTCATTATCCCTTATGGATAATAATAATATATGTTCTCATTTCTTACATAAGGGACGCCAGTTTACAGGCATCATCAATTCGATAAGTTACACATAAGATCAATAAGCATATTTAGTAAAGATAATATAATAAGGTACATTTTTTTCCTAGCTATGGAGGATACACCAATTGTATAGGCATGTATAAATATTGTTTTAATAATAATATATTTGTCCCTGTTTATGCAGGAACATACCTATTGTACAGGTATGGATAAGTTATTATATAAATTACATATAATTTAATGTATAATGGATTTACAGTTTGGTTGTTCTTTCTGGCATTAGAGTCAGTATAGTATAGTCTGCTAGTATAGCTCTAGCTCTCCAAAACAAGTTCAATATGGGGAAGTATAATTTACTTTGAGCAGCTGCAATCAAATAATAACTCATAACAGTCGTAAGCATACTGCGAAATGAGATGTAAGATAAAATGAAAAAATCGAGATAAATAGTTGCGAGAACTAAAATAAGATAAAATAATTAATAATATTCAGAACAGAGACGACGAAAAAAGAAAGGACGGGCGGAGACGTCATGGAAAATGTTGAGAATTACGAAATTATCAAAATAAATTCAGCGAAAGTATGCGGGAAGGAACTAACAAATAAATAAATAATGTGTAAAGTATGTATTCGAAGCATTTCGCAACCCGAATTCAGGAAAATGTTCACCTAGGCGTCAAATAACTGGTAAGTTTTTTTCTGTGGCTTAGGCGTCTTGTTTATAGGGTCAACATTTTTTGCGTTAGAAACGTCCTATAAAAACCCTTACGACTGTTACTATGGTAATGTGAATCGATTTCAGCAGGAAAAACCATCTGTCTACCGTAATAGGCCTAGGTGTAACCAGACGGGTATGCTTGATGTCCCTTGTAACGTATGTGAATCTTGGGGTCGGGTCACACAAAGTGAAGACGATGAAAAATGGCAATGAAGTATGAAAAGTAAATAAGTAAACGTGGAATGAACCGGTATTACGTTGGGTTGGCTCGAGCTCCTTGAATACGGTGTGGTTTTTCCTCTCAAACCGGAAAAAAACGGGCGTTGATAAAGCATATCCCCTATTTGAAGTGGCGCCTCTGGCTTAACCTTGACGGCATTTGCGCGGTTTCGTTGATTCGAGTTGTAGCTAGCCGTCCAGCAAACGCAGTAGACGCGATTTCGGTGCTTATTTTGCTCTTGTTGGATGAATTTATATGAAAATTGTTGTTCGATATCGTTCTTGAGCATTTACTGATTGCTTGTGTGACAGGACGCTTAAATACATGGTTCATGCAATGATTATTTGGCATACCGAGTAAGCTTTGCGTACATTTCGACGACTGTCATTCGATAGATTTCCTTTCAGCTTAGCGGAAACCTGTACTCGATCTCGAATTTCCCTATCAGCTGTTGTGCAGTACCTATTACTGTTGCAGGAACCGAAATATGATTGATATCGAATTCGTGCATCCTTCCGCACTTTCGTGTGGTGTTTTGATGGCTGAAAGTCAATGGGATGCATAGATACAAGGGAAAATTAGTGTTCACGAATGGGCAGAAACTGCGATATGTTTTGCGATAACCTACAACATTCACTGTTTTCTGCCAAAATTTTTAAATGATTTAAATGCACACTGCAACATTTTAGTAATTTGGTGGATTTCAATACCATTCTCGTGATCAGGTACGTAAAGACATCTGTGGTGTGCGTCATTTTGTTCTATTATTGAGTTTGGTTTCATAAACTTCTGATTTTTGTTATTGCCCTGACGCCAAATTATATGCGTTTGTTCAAAGTTAATTCACAAAATTAATTTGAAACCACATAGAAGTAGTGTCCGACATCTCTTAAAGCTATGGACGTAAGGTTTAGAAGCGGTTGCTGTATCCATTTAGGGGGGACTCATCGATTTCTGCAAGTAAGGGCTACGCATCATATTTCTAAATGCCCCCAGAAGCAACAGAATCTTCAGAAGCCATTATTGGGGTCCCAGCTCCTCTATTTCGAAACATGTTATATGGACAGAACATAAAATTGACGTTTGCACATTTTTTTAAACCTATCTGTAAAACGTGTTTGGATTGGGTCCTAAAGTTTGTGGAATCCGAAGTGTGATTCGGAAGTTTAAACCACTTTTGTGAGTTCCAAAACTATTTGTCATCACACAAAACCTTCTTTGTTAAACTTGGTTTGGATACCAGTCAGGGTAGATATAGTAATACCTGTTATTTGGTTTAGTGATGTTCATTGTTATTTTGACCTTCGATATGTGATCTTAATTCGACGTGAATTTATTTTCTGACCTCTTAACTGTATTAATTTCACATGTATTCCTATGACAAGTCCATGCGTGACCATATTGTCCAAATTGTGTTGCACAAATACAACAATGCACGACTCAGACAAATTACGTCTTATTACTTCGTCTAAATATCCACTTGTGTCAAAAATAGTAATTGATGTAATCGCATATTGATATAAACTTTCATTAATTCTTACTTTGGTATCTCGTTAATATTATATTGGCAGTTATATTCATGTATACATGCTGTGCACCCTTTAATTTTTTAGGTAATCTGTAGTTCCAGTGACCTCGTTGGATTCGTTGCTGAAGAAAGTGGTTTCCAGTACCGTTGATTTTGTATTTTGTGTCGAATCACTAATAAATATATTCCCCATACCTCAAATAGACATTCTACTTGTTAATAGTCACCACTAACTTTATAGAATGTTGTGAGCTACAGAGTTAGGGTCATGTGTTGTATTGAGTAGTGCGTTTAGAAGATGCTACCGCCTCTGAGGTATATTGTCGTCAGTATGGAGTGCATTCTCGTTCTCGTGATAAATCTGTTAGCAGTGATTATTATTAGTACCTATAATTCGTAAGGATGGTATATAACGAAACGTATTAATTCAGTAGTCAAAGGCTAGAACTATCCGTTAAAGTTGAAACAGGTGCTCATGAATGGGAAAACTGATTAATCGAAAGTTGAAACATCACGTAAGTGATAAAGTCATTAGCATTGTTTACATGCGAATAGTTAAGGTTATTTATTTAAAAACGATGGCTACTCGTTGATGGTTTGAGGGATATTTCGTTTGATAGGAAATAGGTGCGACATTAACTGAAAAACAGTGTAACTGGATAAGCAACATCAACTGGCCAGTATACAAATATTTTGAAGTAAAACACGATCGGGCAAAGTATTTCGAAGACAGGAGTAGAGCAGTCTTCTGAAACTATTAATTTAGTGAGCAACTAAATTTGTCTTTAAATTAAGACTGAAAGTAAGCGGCATATTGGTAGGCTAAACGATTATCATTATTCGGTTTCGTTAGAATAAGTATCCGAGTACTATTTCACTCATCATTCTGTCTTTTGAATAACTTAGTAATATGGCGTTTACTTTCGGATCCAAATTACTAAGTAAAGGTTAATATCCCTAATATGAAATTGTCGCCAAAGTAAGTAAATATGTTCATATCTAGAAAATACTAAGGTTTGGAGTTGTTTTTTCTACTACCACAACACCAGGTGACTCACCAATTAGTCACAAAGTAAAACTAGGTCTGTCCAAGACAGTCTGCTCTTGACTTCTAGGTATCGTGAAGGATAAACTATGCCCGTAGGTTAACAGGATTAGACGCATGATGTCAATTCGAAACTAGGTATCTATGTTTCGCAGCTACAGAAAACACCATGTTACAATCTATTCCTTTAATCGTGTCAATCAATGTGACATCAGTTAAGACTAGAAAAGGAACACCACTGGTTTTCACAAAATCCATTTGTGTTCCCTAATATAATGTACATTCCGTAATTATAGGCAAACCAGGAAACGCACCAAGTCATCACGTATATACGAACAAAAATTCAGCGTACAAGGTAGGGTAGATTTAAAGGAATGCCTACTCGATATGGCTCAGAGTTCATGTGAAGTGACACATGCCTACATCTGAAGGTGCGTGTATAAGGTATCGCATTTCCTCAGCCCTTCGTCTAAGTGACTCAGTGGGTCGCCTCCATATTTGACAAATGCTCAGTCCATGAATTCTACTTGTACCTGTAAAACACAAAGAATACCCTGCTGGGATATGGTGCTGTGTTACACTAGAGTCCCTCAGTTTACAGGTAAATCACACTTAATATCAGTATTGCGGCTTTTAGTTGAAAAAGTCATTCGACTGTGTCACAGATGCTTTTGGCTGGATTCCTCAGTACCAAGTATTGTTCCCTGAGAGTGCATTGAAGAAACCCTGCAGGACGATATTGAAGCTTTGCCGAAAATTGAATAGAAGCATTTCACTCATACAATATGTATACAGTAAAGAATACACTCTTAACTCACTGCGCTCAGCCCTACATCACCCTATAAAATTCTCTTGCTTGGAAATGAAACATGTACATATATATTGTGTCGTTAACTTCAGATACACATTAATATCTAAATTTCATACGCCTTCTGTTTCACTACTCTATGTAATAATAGTTTGACAGTTATTTACGAATGCAGTAATAAGTAGTTCATGGGCCACGAGTAGCACTTGGTATTCAGCAGAGGTAATGGGCACTTAGTGATTGTAATTTAGAGAACTAATACGACAAGGTTAGCTTTTTTCTAATATATACGCAACTATCAACGCAATGAAAAGATAATGACGAATTGTTATCACAAGCATTCTATTTACTATGGAGGGAATGTTATT